ATTGTGACCCCGAATCAGATGGGGACCAACATGGAGAGGGTCTACCTCGCCTATCGCAGGTCAGTCTTCTGCTTGCAACCGCCAGGCGACTCAATCGCACGTGCGGCCATCGTCGACGCATTGGCCGCGGGCTGCATACCAGTGCTCTTGCACCCGCGGCAGCCCTCCCTCTGGCCCTGGCACTGGAGTGCCGACGAGGTGAGCGTGCTCTTTGACTGGACCGACCGGCGGGGCGTCCGCCTCTACCCCAGCCCCTCTCGCCGCAGCCGCCTCTCTTTCTCTGGCCCCAACGCGAGCGCGCTCTTCGCACAGCTGGAAGCCATCCCACCGGCGGTGATCCAGGAGAAGCAGCGCGCGATCGCGAGGGTGGTGGATGGCATGACGTACCGCGGCGAGACTGTGGGGCAGAGCGCCTGCCGGCGACCGGAGAGCCGCGACGCATTCGACCTGTTTCTGCGAGGCGCGCTGGAAGGCCGGCCAGTACATCGGTGAGGGGGTGTGCTATGAGGGTATCAAGCGAACCAGTTTGGACCATGTTTAGACCCGGTTTAGACCACACTCTCCTGTTCCGAGTTTACGATACATGTAAACAGGACCGACACGAAAGGTCTCGGAAGGTTCACCTCTGAAATCTTCGTCATCATTTCAGGAGGCGCGAGATTTGGGCTCCTCACTGTGTTGTGGCTCCTTCACCCCGCGGCCCCAGTCCCCACAGCAACGCCGATGCCCAGGGAGAGCCCGCGGCGACGAAGCCCGCCGGCAACCAGCACAGGCCAGAATAAACGCAAGCGCGACGAGCCGACGGACGCCAGCGTTGACCTCATGATCCGTTTCCCGCCACCTGCGCCGGCAGACGCCACCCCACCGCCAACCAAGCAAATGACTCGTTTGGCTGGGCGGAGCGGCCGCTGCAGCCCGGCGCCGTGGCTGCCACTGATGCACGCGAAGCTCCAGTCCTCGCTGCTGATGCGCAGCTACTCCGCGCTCAGCCTCGACAGCCTGGGCTCGGCGAGGCCTGTGTGTGGCAGCACCCGCTCCACATCGGCGCTCTCTAGTGCGAGCCGCGAGCCGACCCAGACGCCGCCCAGTTGCCCGGGCGCCTTTGAGCAGAGCCGCGAGCTCGGCCTCTGCCGCGCGCCCCCCCGCCCAAGGCTTGTCTCCCGTTTGAGCCGGCAGCAATCTACCTAGTTTGTGTGCCGCATGTCCTCCGCACGTCCAACCCGCCGCCGCCCTTGTGGCAGCGCCCTCGGGTGGAACCGCTCTTAGCGCTGTCTAGAATATTGCTGACCACCACGTCTGCGCGAACTATAGGTGTAGCAGGTGTTGAAAGGCATGCACATCTATTGTCAAGTATTGAGAGGAAATAATGGTACCACTGTCCCCTCGCCGGTTAAACCGCTGCGCTGCGGCGGTGGGGCGCGTGCAGGCCTGCACGCTGCAGCGTGCAGGCCGCGCGCAGCGACCGCGCGGGGCCGGGGGCAGCGCCCTAGTGCCTAGAGCGTAGAGGTGCAGGTGCGAGGTGCAGCGCGCCACCGCCAGCGGCGAGCAGCGTGCCCGCAAGCCGCATGAAGCGACGGCGTGGACCGTGAGAGCGTGATCGAGCTTGTGAGAGGTGTGTGACCCGCCGTCGCTATTGGCTTTGCTAGACAACACAAGAAGGCCGGGCAATTGCGCCGTCTCGTCACGACCACACGCAAGCCTAACTCCCAGACGCACACAACCGCCAGCCTCGGAACAACATAGGGGCTGCTGCCAACCCCTTACATCATCGCCTTCTTGGCAGCCTCCTTCGCGATTGCCTTGTTCATCTTCTCCGTCCTCGCCTACGGAAGGAGGGGGGGGTCGGGAGGACAGGGGGGGGGGGGGGGGAGGGCCCCCTTGGCCCCCCCCGCGAAATGGGGAGCATTTTTTCTCTTTTTCCAGGGGGATAGCTCTCCATCCCTTTTTTTGGGGGA